CGCAATACCACATGTTAAATGCATCAGAACCACTTCAAACCCAACGGATCCTAATGGATACCAGTAACATTGCGGTAGGGAATACTGTATACACTACACGTGGATGGGGGGCGGTGGCGGACACTAATGTCAGTGTATCTGCCATCGAATCCCGACACCCCCCCCCCCCCCCCCCCCCCCCCCCCCCCAAGCCTGGCTAGACGCCGGCTGCCCCTTATCAGAGAACTAACAGTAAACCCAGGAGTCAATTTTCCTCTCTTGACTCACAACAACGACACGTGGACCTCTGGGCATGTAAACCATGTGAAGTAGTTGTGTAATGACTTACCAGTGCAATACTATGCCAAGTTGATTCATGTAATCGGCACTTGTGTCCATGTGTCAGTGACAATGTCATGGAATACACTGGAAGCAATCTGATACATTTATGCAATATACCGTGTTTCTTAATGCACATGGGGCGGTCGGGTAGCCTGGTGGTTAAAGCGTTCGCTCGTCACGCCGAAGACCCGGGTTCGATTCCCGACATGGGTACAATGTGTGAAGCCGTTATATTGCTGGAACATTGCTAAAAGCGGCGTAAAACAATACTCACTCACTCACTCGCGTGGATTGTTATTCATGCTATCAGCCACCGGGTGTCTTTACAGGCCGTTGTCTTTGAAAAACTCGAATATTGTTGCAAGACATCGTCGTAAAGGAAAATTCACTCACTCATCAGATCACGGCGATAGATCTCCCCGCCGTTATAGCTGCACATTCTTATCGGCTAAAACCCCCATTCACTCACTCACCCCACGTACGCAAGCAAGCACGCACTCACGCACGCACTCACTCACACACAGAAGGGAAGACTGTAAGAATCTGGTCTTTCTTAAACCATTCGTATTTACACATGTAGGTTTTCATCTATTGAAAATAGGATGGTTCTTAACATCGATCATCGGTTTAGCATTTGTTACTTGAACAATAGTAGTAGAGCATCTACCCCGAGAGTCAACCTGACATACGACACCTGCGACACAATCTCAGTATTGATAGAGTGAGTGAGTCAGGGCGCCGCAGATGTAGACAGTGCTTCTGTCGTATCACGACGTGCCAACCTAGTGTGTCAGAAACACCTCTCATGCAGGTCTTAGACGGTTCTGCGGTTGGTCTTCTGCCAGTAGTCTGTCTTACAGACCCTGATACAAATATATATCAAATACAGCCCATGCAAGTCTATAATGTTTGGCAAGTCTAGATCACTGCAGTATCAGGACAGAGAAAATGAAGAGAGTCACTGGGCTCCTTTTTATTATATTTTTATTAAGATAACTGAACAACTGTTTTTTTATGTACGATATGTTCATTTCAGAGACTAGATGTTAGTCTATTCTGCCAGTTGTGTGACACCCACGAGCACTGGTATATGACAAACTAAGAAGTATGATCATCAGTGCGAATATGGGAGATGGGCCCAGCGGAAGATGGTACGCGGAGGGACTCAATTATATGTCCACTATCGAGGAACCAGGAAACTGTTTCATATCAGATAATAATAATCTTACAGAAGCCATACGTCAACTGTTCAGACCTGATGCCAGGATTTCGCGCTTGTGCTGCCTACAAATTATTCTTTTATTATTTTAATATATACAATTTGGATACCGACAAGCTTAAACACAAATTATTATCTACATTTTAAATGCAATAAAAATCAAATATACAGTAAACTACGTTTATAACGAACACGCTTATAACGAACTGACGGATATAACGAACTTTTTTGTCCCGACTATTTGCTGTAGTTATGCTGTATATATGCTTATGACGAACTACGGTTATAACGAGCTAAAATTAGTGGTCCCTTTGAGTTCGTTATATCCGTAGTTTACTGTACTTTATTTTGTTTAAAATGAGAGCGAAATTATTGTTTTTCATGGTCGGAGTTTTTTGGCAAGAGCTCGTGTAGGTATGTCAAGAGACACAAGGAGGCGGATGTGTTGATGGAGTGGTTGTCTAGCGGGGTGGGGCAAGCGGAGACGTCATTGTTGCAGAAGTAGTCGTACATGTTGAAGTTTCTATTTATAGTATAAATCACTTGTTTTATTTCAGCAATGGTGCTATGGGCGTATTATATATTTATGTCAAGGGGCCATGTATTTCTATTAAAAGATGATTTTCAAGTAATCGAGGACTGCAGGAGTGTGTGCCATGTTCATTTTTTTCACAAGAACATAGCCAATATAATGCATATTGAATGAAAGATCTGGGTTCTTCCAGATAATACAAATACTCTGCTGTATACCGTCCTGAGGCTGTGGTGTTGTCACCCTAGGCGCGGCTAGAGCGACGGCAGTGTCACCTCCGTACATGAAGTAGGGGTGGGGGCGTCTCGACATCCGCAACACCAGTTTTGGAATGATCTGGGCAGGGTTCGGGAAATAGTTGAATTTATGTTTTGAGATTTGTTGATCCAGTTTGTCCGTGCGCGGATGTTAGCTCCTCGCGTCGCATTCTTCAACTTAGTTGTCTGTTACAGGGAAGTTTACTGGACGGGAGTGCGGTAAGTGTCCATGTCAGTTCTCAGCTTGACAATATAATGCACGACTGGTTCCTAATATCGAGCCTCCTTCTTTTGAAATATGAAGCAGATCTGTTTATCGTAGCCTCCTTCTTTTAAAATGTGAAGCAGGTCTCAATTTCGTAGCCTCCTTCTTTTGAAATGTGAAGCAGGTCTGTATATCGTAGCCTCCTTCTTTTGAAATATGAAGCAGGTCTCAATATCGTAGCCTCCTTCTTTTGAAATGTGAAGCAGGTCTCAATAACGCAGCCTTCTTCTTTTGAAATATGAAGCAGGTCTCAATATCGTAGCCTTCTTCCTTTGAAATGTGAAGCAGGTCTGTATAGCGTAGCCTCCTTCTTTTGAAATGTGAAGCAGGTCTCAATAACGCAGCCTTCTTCTTTTGAAATGTGAAGCAGGTCTCAATATCGTAGCCTTCTTCTTTTGAAATGTGAAGCAGGTCTCAATATCGTAGCCTCCTTCTTTTGAAATGTAGCCTCGTAGCCCCGTCATATGTTTGAATTATGAAGCAGGTCTCAATATCGTAGCCTCGTCATATGTTTGAATTATGAAGCAGGATCTTAGCAATGTGGTTTCCTTAGCAGCAGGATACAAGTCATGCAGTTTATCCCCTTGACTTTCATTAGTGCCATACTTTATTGTAAGGCGTTGTTTGCCTATATAGGACCCAACTACGGTCGCTGTGACCTAGCGCTACCATATTCCACGTAGTTCCGCGTATAAGAAGTCTGGTCCAAGTCTGTATCACAGTCCCTGAACCATTATTTGCCCTTCCGCCCAGCCCTAGTTGTAATGCAAACGCCCTAAATATAGCAAGTCTAGATTTTCCTCAGGTTCTGAATCTCCCATCTCACTGGGGCTCATTTTCAATTTTAATTTAGTTATTTGTTGCTATGAAAATGATATACTTTCCGAGACTATGAGTGAGTCTATCTGGTTCATATAGGAACGTGAATAGTCCTGATGTACGAGGGTGATAACTTGTGAGCAAACGTTATATTTGACCTCCATAAGCACAGTATGGTCGCGGACCTATATACGGACCTATATAGGTCAGTGGTATGGTGTGTCGGCATATAGAGACAATCACTCAATTTGTTCAGATGGTTTAGTTTCTGAAGTCGTCTCAAACCATACCTGTCTCCCTGGCATGTCTGTCTGCTGTTCTCTGTGCACGAATGACCCAGCGGAGCAGCACACAGGATTGTGTTCATTATCCGTGTCGTGTTAAGCCGTTAGGGTTTTGAATCCCAGAGTCACCACGAGTATGACTCTTGGTCTTCGAGTCTCTGCGACCATGGGTATTACCAAAGTACTTCACGCCTTCTCCACATGAAGCTGACACAAAGGTGGACACGAAGGTCGACACAAAGGTAGACACTAAGGTAGACAAAGGTAGACACAAAGGTTGACACAAAGGTGGACACAAAGGTAGACACAAAGCAGGACACAAAGGTAGACAAAGGTAGACACAAAGGTTGACACAAAGGTATACAAAGGTAGACACAAGGGTAGACAAAAAGGTGGACACAAGGGTAGACAGAAAGGTAGACACAAGGGTAGAAAAAACGGTGGACACAAAGGTAGACACAAGGGTAGACAAAAAGGTGGACACAAGGGTAGACACAAAGGTAGACACAAAGGTGGACAAAAAGGTAGATAAAAAGGTGGACACAAAGGTAGACAAAAATGTAGACAAAAGGGTAGACACAAAGGTACACACAAAGGTAGATACAAAAGTAGATACAAAGATAGACAGAAATGTAGGTACAAAGGTAGAAACAAAAGCAGGTATAAAGGTCGATACCAAGGTAGAGACAGAGGCAGACACAAAGTTAGACAAAAGGTAGATACAAAGGTAGACACAAAAATAGACTCAAAGGTAGACACAAAGGTACACATCGCGTCGATGAAGAGAACCGTGTTTCGAAAGTCAATCAGCTCTCCAGAAGCACTCTGTCAGAAAACACTTTAATTTTTCTTCCAGACCCTGTACACACTTCAGTGATATATGGAAAGTCCTAACCTCTGGCGACAGCGCCGATAACCATACCACCTGTAGCGTAGCGACACCCATGAAAGGGAGTACAACGTACGCCGCTATAGGAGTTTAAATCCGCTTACTTCAGCTGTTTTGAAATTTGATCCGTGAGCCACGTGTTGGACGACAATTTAGATAGTTCCTGAAAGTTCTACAACAACCTACCCTTCCCCTTCCCCCGTGTCACCTGGACCGGCGTCCACGACTAATCAGAGCAAATACTGAATTGTGAGTACCGAGATAGGGGTACATCGTCGCCCCCATCATGTTTGCCATGATGACACTGCTCTGCCACAAGCTCATCTTCCCCCCTGTTTCCAAATTAGGGAGAAAGAACGCGCTCGAGCGCAAAACCTCCCCTTCGTTTTATCATAGCAAGAGTATCGGCAGCTAACCGACGGCGTCTCCCATTTCCTCGTCCGCCAATGCACGGCTGAGAATATTTATATCCGTGCCCGGTTTGGAGAGAGGTGAGAGAGTGGCCGTACCCATCTTCAGTGACTGTTCACGATTACACAGACGCTGCTGGATATCTGGGGTAAGACAGGGTATATAGTCGGGGAGGTCAGTCCCTGGTCAGTTGTATATCTACAGGATTTACAGCAACATGCTCCTCTAGACGTGTATTATTGTGATCATACAAACGGAGTTAACATTCTTGGAAATACGGGTAAGATGTTATGACCGTAGGTTCCGTCCGCCTCGAGCACATCGCCAGTCTAAAACAGCGCTATCTTTTATCACCAGTACCCTTCTCTGCAATATAATTACTTATTATTGTTATACTATTGTTATTGAAGCTTTTAACTCATGGTATACTTCATTATAAATTTATATTGTGTTCTTGTGTAAGCTGTCCTAACCTACCTGGTATCCGGAAGTAACCTTTGAACTCGTGCGAGAGTAGGAAGCGCTGAGATAACGGTACACTCTATGAGGTTGGGAAAGAGAAGCTATATTACCTCGCTGTTTGTTGCTCTTTTCCCTTAATCTTCAGCTAAAGTAGAATTTGTTCAACGGCTTGGGTGAGCTGTTCTTTACTTACGCTGCAGGAGCATGCTATTTACTCAGTGACACGTTGAACCTATCCCCAAATTCCATGTTTCCGTCTCCAGGATAGAACAGTGTGAAGGTGATATTATATTTTAAATCAAGAACACAGGGCATGCAGCTATATATGAACATCCTCAATTGAACACATGAGTGTAGGAGTATTGTTATAATTAATGAAGGAGTACAGCCGCTTCTCCGTAATCGGCAGTGATTCAGACTAACCCACGCCCAGGATATTTACCATGGCAACCGTCGCCATATTGTTTATGTTTTTGAAGCGTTTTACGATCGGGAAAGCGGATAAAAATTACCTCTTAATTATCGCATATATATATCAGCGCTGAAAATCAAATTGCTATGCGTCTATATATCATGCCATTTATCGGAAACAAGGAATTCCTTAGTATGGTTTGCGTCCAAGAAATCTCAAGGTCAACTTGAATGCACTTGATATTCCTAGCCTTAAAAGTTTCGGAAGAAGATGGTGTAACGCTAATATTATAAGTTAGCGCTCTGTGATAAGCCCATGGGCGATATGAAAGTCGTACTTCCTAATTTGTCTACCGGTTACCTGAAACCGGAGACTGTCATATAAATACACATCTCAATGTGGGCACCTACCAACGGTGCCAAGAGCATATTCGCTATAACGCGAACAATGTAGTCACTGATATGTTTCCTAATCATCATAAGTTACAACAAGTATATGCAAAGGCTATGTACACTTCGTAAAGTTTCCCAATAAGTTTATATTTACAACGTATACATCATGCATGGGTACTGCGTTATAGTGAAATGTACTCGGCATTGAGGTTTCGTGAAGTTGAAGGCCACAGTTTGGCATTCTGGGACTGTGGCTGCCGGTGTGTGTGCGTTTTCTAGTCAGCAGATCCACTGCACCGCTGTCTGCGCATCGCCTTTAATGTCGACAGGCGTCCTTCTTAGCTCAAACATCATTTTACGAATATCTTCACATCAACATAACAATTCTTATACTCTCTTAATGGTTATGTTTCGTGAAAATAACTGTGTTGTACTTCCGACGCTATAAACTAACTTACATATCTTTAACGGTTGACTGTTTAAGCACCTGTGTTGGTCTCCCTGGGGAACATGTACCGATATATCTTTGAGGATTTTTATTTTGAATCGCTGCTAGGTTTGTATAAAGAATCAGTTTTTCAAGGTGTTTGAGGAGCAAGGAATTGATTTTTTTTTCATTTTGACCACTAACTCAAATTGTTTCAAGGCCCTAGAATAATTTATCATTTCCCACCTGTTTCTTTTATATACCGTTATACGCCATGTTTATATACCTCGTTATACGCCATATTTATGTACATTATGTACACCGTTATAACCATATTGATATAACCATTATAGGTCATGGTTATATACACCGTTATACGTCATGTTTATAGGTACAGTTATACACCATATTAAAATATACCATTATACACCATGTTTATATACATCGTAATGAGTCATGGCAATGTACACCGTTACACGTCATGGTTATATACACTATATCTATATACACCCGTCCGTTATACGCTATGTTTATATACATCATATATATTATATATTATTAGATATTTTCATAATCATGAAAGCGATGCAGAATTGTTCGTGACTAACCTAACGTAATGGTTCTAGATTTGACGAGAATTATGCCTATTACAAAATCCCTGTGAATGCTACTGTAATCCACAGCCATCAATATGTTCGATTCGGTTCCACCTGAACAGGTGGGTGATAGTATGAACAACGATCAACGCCGACGGGGTACGATGACCCAACCCACAATAAGGCCAAGTCACGCATTGTAGCCATATCGTTTAAGCCGGTTCTCGAACAATTATATCCCAGATATATGTTGTAATATCAGCTGGCTCCCTGTAGAGTGATAGTAGTACATGAGCATATCTGGGGCCCGGGTGGCCCAGTCGTCTAAGGCGCCGCAATTCGCTGTTGAGAGTTGCGTCCCTTTGGCAAATCAGAAACCTATGATTGTAGGCTCGAATCCTGGTTCGACCCGATTATGTTTCTAGGTTTGTCAGCACCATACCCGTGCTCGTGGGTTTCAACCGAAGTGGTAAACGTCTGAGACCTGCATCACTTCGGGCTTTCCTCCCACATTAAGCTGACACGCAGCGATATAACTGTAATACTGTTAAAAGCGGCGTTAAAACCCAACTCAAAGCAGCGTCAAACCCAACTCACTTGAAAATATCCCAGGCATCGGTGGCCCAGTGGCAAGGGTCGTCTCCCTTATCGAGGATCCACTGTTTGTGGTTTTGATTCCTAGATTCCCTTGGTTTTGCTCCTGGATCTTTCAAGACGTGCTCCAATCTAGATCACTGCGTACCTTCCCCCCACATTAAGCTGACAAGGTGTGATATGACGAATATACTGTTAGAACCAGAGTTAAACCAACTCACTCACAAGAGCCAATGTCATAATAAGAGGACGTTGATATTATGACAAGAACTGTGGTAAACTCTACATAATGACCCATTATTCAGCACACTGTACAAGTATCTTATACACTACACTTCACCACTGACCATGCTGCTATTTGCTCCTTTGAATGTTTATGTATTTCTCAGAGACGGGGGGCACGGGTGGCCCAGTCGTTTAAGGCGCCGCGATTCGCTGTGCAGAGTTGCGTCCTTTGGTCACGCCAAAAATCTATGATTGTGGGTTCGAATCCCGGTTCGCCCTGATTAGGTTTCTAGGTTTGTCAGCACCATACCTGTGCTCGTGGGTTTCACCGAAGTGGTAAACGTCTAAGACCTGCATCACTTGGGGCTTTCCTCCCACATTAAGCTGACACGCCGCGATATAACTGGAATACTGTTAAAAGCGGCGTTAAACCCAACTCGCTCACTCACTCACTCAGAGACGGGAATCTCCTAGCCTTGCTCAAAGGCTGTACTAAAAGAAAAGTCCATGGATGTGTAGTAATTCTATCCTCCTAATAGGCAAATTAGTCTAGATATGTGGACAGTACAGTGAGGACTCCAGTCTCTTATAGGGACAACTTGTTCTTATTATTTACATAATCTAGAATTTATGATGTAAACTAATAACTATTGCCATAGAGACGTATGCTAGTCTGGGAATCTCCCTATGCAGACACTCTTGGGAATCTGTTTGACGGGATAAAGATTGCGCATAACAATATCAAGATGGCCGCCATATGTAGGCGTAAATCTGACAAGAATTGTCGGTTCCATCTCACTGTATAATGAAATCTGTGATGTAGCATTGTGCAGAGGTGAAGGGTATGTGTGGGCTTGTGGGTAATTGGAAACATGCTCCCCGTGCACCACGCACATCACTCGCTTCCACAGAATTATTTAAAAAAAATTCGTCTTATGTTTTATTTTGTAAGTTAGTCTTTCCTAATGAAGCTAATGATATTTTAGCGTAAAATTCGGTGTATAATTTTGTACCTTGTTTGAATAATGAGCCATGGTCCTACTTGTAGAATGTTGTAAACACGAGGACAGAGGTCTGTAGCAAGTGGGGTAGCATAGTGGTTAAGTGTTCGTTTGACACTGGTTCAATTCCCCACATGGGTACAATGTATGCAACCAATTGTGGGTATACCCCGCCGTGATATTGATAAAAGCAGCGTAAAGCGATACTCACTCACTCACTGTAAGCGGGTATTCAGGACTTAGTCCTGTTATGTATAGCGTACACTATAAACGCGATTATAACACTATATTGGCTGCGTTGCTTTATACATGCTTGGCGTTGGCTAATATGCCCAGGTAACACCTTTACACACAATGCATGTTACGTCATGCGACAATAGTGGACTTTGTTTAATGACAATGGAGTTTCGAAAATAGTGAGTGAGTGAGTGAGTTGGGGTTAACGCCGCTTTTAACAGTATTCCAGTCATATCACGGCGTGTCAGCTTACTGTGGGAGGAAAGCCCCAAGTGATGCAGGTCTTAGACGTTTACCACTTCGGTGAAACCCACGAGCACGGGTATGGTGCTGACAAACCTAGAAACATAATCGGGGCGAACCGGGATTCGAACCCACAATCATAGGTTTCTGGCGTGCCCAAGGGACGCAACTCTGCACAGCGAATCGCGGCTCCTTACACGACTGGGCCACCCGTGCCCCCTCGAAAATAGTGAAGCTTGAGTGACTTATTCACTAACAAGGCCATTTGAATATGTGAGGGTATGTCATGAGTGTTATCTTTCGTCCGTCCGTCGTTCGGTATCTTTTACGATACAACCAGGCCTACTATTGAGAAACTTTGGATGATTCCAGAATAGGTATTTTGAAAAATATGACTCAGTATTACTACACAGTTTTATGCCAAGAGTACAGTTATAATATGTATATTGTAATATTGGTGACTGCGATCCACCGTGATATAACACTGTAATATTGCTGGCTACGAGCCACCGTGATATAACTGTAATATAGGTGACTACGAGCCACCGTGATATAACTG